GGGGCGGCGTGCGGTGATGAGGTGAGTCTGCCTCCCCCCCTCCCCCTACCCTTCCTGCTCCCCTTATGCTTTGCTTGAACGCCTAGCTAGTTCTTTCATTTAATCTAAACTTACAAGCTTGCCCTGCCCCCTTTCCCCCAGGTGCCCCCGAGCGAGGGAGGGGATCCGGCCGAGAAGGGTCCAGAGACCGCCGCCGACGCCAACAAGGGAGAGCGGCCAGAGCAGACCAAAACTGTAGGCATTGCCGCCCCCGCCACGAGACATTGTGCCTCTAACCACTACTCTCTGCCTTCTTTGCACATGCAGGAAAAGACCAAGACACTTGAGCTGCCCATCGAGTCTCAAGTGCCGCAGCTGTCTCCTGCGGAGATGGACCACTTGGTCGAGACTGAGGCAAAGATGGTGCAGAGTGACCGGATGGAGAAGGAGCGCGTGGATGCAAAGAATGCTGTTGAGGAGTACGTCTATGAGATGCGGGACCACTTGTCGGACAAATACAAGGCATACATAGTCGAGAAGGACAAGGAAAAGTTCCTGGCCATGCTTAACGAGACCGAGAACTGGCTCTACACTGAAGGTGAGGAGGTGCCCAAGAACCAGTATGTAGAAAAGCTGAATGCACTGCGTGAGATAGGCCAGCCCATCAAGAACCGCTGCAAGGAGCATGAGGAGCGAGGTATGGCTGCCGAAGAGATGGGTGCAGTACTGCAGAAGTCTCGCAAGGCCCTCCTGGACTTCCAAGCTCGGTCGCAGGAAGAGACCTACCAGAAACTTGCTAAGGCCGTGGAGGAGCGGCAGAACTGGTTTGACGGCGCCATGGGTGCACTTTCGAAGGCTCCGTTGCACGAGGATCCCCCGGTGCTGGTGTCTCGCTTCCGGGAGGAGGCGAAAACCATGGAGGTTCTCCTCGCAGCCCTCGCAGTAGCGCCGAAGCCACCCAAGGCAGAGAGCCCCGCACGACAAGCCCCAGAAGGGGGACAGACACCATCTCAGTCCGAGGAAGTGACGGAGTCCGAAGAGGTGACTGAGAAAATGGATGTGGATTAAAGGTGCTTTGAGGAAGACCCACAAAAAGGAGAAAGAAAAAACTGCTTGTACATAACATGCACTTCTGTCTTCGCTGGAGAAACACAAGTGTTCTTTCGCTTAGTTTTTTTTTTCTTTTTCCTCCAGAGAGAAAGAGAGGATGTGGCTGGTGACATTCTTGCAGACCTTGCTGTGAAGACTGGTTGATGGAACTGGTGGTTGATGGAACTGGTAAATCACAGCTTGGCAGTTTTCTTTTTGCCTGGTAGTGAGGTGCATCTGTTTACGTTAGTGCAGGGAAACAAAATTGTGGGCAGTTTTTCATTTTCTTACTTGTTATGAGCAGCTTAAAGGCTCTGAAGCACTGCTACTTGAAGAAATCATGCTAACAAATTTTTCTTGCAGTATCGTTGTCAATGTCTTGTGCAAAGTTTCTTCACATTGTTTTAGCTAACTTAATTTGGGATTTCCCCTAGTCCTAGTTCCTGTGATTCATCTGTGGAGCACTGCACTAGCATGCTTTGCTGAATACCAAGGTTAGTTGGGGGGAACCCAAGGATGTTTTGAGGTTGCAAGGTCATGTATAAATTTGTCATTAATAAATTGTCCTGTTGCACCAAGGAAACTGCGTTCAGTTTGCATACAATGCGGCTCGTGGGCTTTTAGAGTCAACAACCTTGAGCCACGTTACTAACTTGCCATGGCTGCCCAAATTGATCAACGATAGTAACATGTTCTGCGTGTCCACAGACACAGTTCTATAATGTAGCTATACGTATTGCTTGATATGTACTTAGATGAAACCTTTCTGTAAAGCGAGCGTCTATTGCACATCAACACAGAATCTTCAAACAAGTTGTAAGGGTTCCGTAACCTTGTCTGCCTTAGTTTGGGCACTAAAAGGGGACTTTGTATGCAAAAGTCCAAAACCTTTTTTTCCCATAGCCAGGTGTTTTTCTGCCGCATTTCTGTAGCATCGTAGCCGCTACAGTAGATTTCTGAGCAGCCCATCTCCAATAAAGCTGGCGAGGAGTCGCTTGAACAATAAGCATTAGGATTTAAGGGGTGGCACTTCTTTGGATTTTTAAATAAAATTATTCGTACTGTATTTCATATTCATGACAAAGTGTGCAACCGAAGCAGTTGCTATATAGAATAGTATATTTCTTTTAATCTTGCAATTTTTGCATCGCTAAGAAAGTGTTTCGAGGTTACAAAATTACGTATCTGACCACATTCCCAGAATTAGTGCAGGAAAATTCAGTGAATATAAAGACGTTTATTCAACATTAAAAATAAAAACACAACTCCACACAGTGGCTTGCTGGGCAAGTTTGTGCTGGATAATCGTGGAGAGACAATAAAACATCCATTTTTAACAAGTCGTGTTGCTAATAAATGTCCCAGTCCAGAAAAGCAGTGCACAAAACAGCGTGCGGTCCTTCTCTTGCCAGTTTCCTGCGCTGCTTTCTACAATCGTAAACATGCAATATTTGTATAATTTGTGAGAGAGGAAGAATTAGTATTTCTGTTTGTTGAACAAGATTAAGCTGGACTCCAACTGATAACTTATCGCAAAAAATCTGCATGGCAGCCACTTATGTCTCGCACATGCTGAAAGTCAACGGTCACAATCCTCATGTCGGAAGCCGCTCCACTTCATGCCTTCCAAGCACAGTTTTGTAGGCTGTCTTTGTTGTAGAACATTGCGGATGCTGGAACCTGTTTCCACATTGTTGACCTTATTTGCAAGTAATGCTTGTATAAGGTGTGCGCACCACATTTAGTGTCGTAGACACTCCAATACTGGTGTCACACGGGCACTTCAAAGGCCCGCCTGACACTAGTATGAGGCTTCGGAGATATTCAACACTCATTCAAAAAGGCAAGTATCGGACAGTATTTTTAGCTGTGACACTGCGAAGATGCTGAGTGCCAGAACCTGAAACGAGCAATCCAAAAGTGCCGAGCACAAGAGAATTTGTTTACAAAAAGGCACGGAGGTCGGCCTGAGCTAGTTTGCTCTGGCCTGCTGCTCCACATAGGAGAAGAGGGACAGGGGAGCAAGAGTGATGAATGACGATGGCAAAATGAGAGATGAGAATATGTTCCTGTTACTATGCCAGTCCTTAGATTTGCTGAGCACGTGTTCCAACATAGCACTGTGGTTTTTAAGGCAAAAGGCTTAGACGATTAACCAAACGCGGAAATTGACTGACAGCAAAAACGTCCTGCAATGATTTCCCAGATCGCCAGAATTTAATACATCATCATTAAAAAATGTTGCATTGTCAAGAGCATTCCAATACTGGAGCCAATCCCCCTTTGAGCCAAGTTCTTTTAGGCGACAAAATAAGGAACCCTGCTAACTGATTTGTGTACATTTCTTTAATACTGCATTTTATAGTTCAGTAGAAGTTGAGAATGAAGGAGACAACTCGCCCAGATGAGTGAAGCACAGCAGCCTCTGCGAGTAAACAGATGTAGTCCTGCTCCTGTACTTGACCACGCTCTCTATCAGGCATGATCACCGACTGCCCAACTGGTGATTTCAGTCTAAAAATCATATCCACAGGAATAGGCTTGTACTCCATCGATGTGTAAATGAGCTCCCTTCTAAAGTTGTACCCGACTCTATGAATTTAGCAATTTCTAAATATTAAACAAGGAGAGAGAAGTGTCTCGGCAGACACCATGCATAGTGGGAATCGACTTCACATGAAGCTGTGAGAAAGTAGCTGCATTTGTTAGCTTTGAGCGAAGCCTTATGAAGCGGATAAATGCATAAAATCAACTATAGGGGGCTCTGGCACTGCATTCGTACGGACACCATGGGAATGATTTGTAGCACACAAATTTGCCTAGTCTTCGTGCTTGCTGCTTTGAAAGCATTTGTGGATTTGTTTATTGTGAACTTTGTGAGCCAATTAGAATTGGTGAGCCTAAAAGGTCAAGGTGGTTAAGCGTAACTGCTTAACTTGTGCTGAACTTCGTCTTACGACAAAGCGAACACCGGCCCCAGGAAGCCACACGGAGCCAGAAGAACAAACACCAGGCAAACTTGTGTACTACCCATCAGTCCCGTGCTGGCTGAAGTGCCGTTGGTTGCAGCTCCCATAGGCACTAGTGCCAGGGTTCCCACTGGTAAGTATTGCAGGGAACTCTATGGATGGATGTCTGCATAAATTCAGTATTTGTGTGCATATTGTGGCTTTGCTAGGTTTCCGACGTTACTGGCATGTAATAGGCAGCTTTGTGTTCCAATGTAACGTTAACACTTGCATTACAGCATGGACGTGCTGTAACATATAAACAATGTGGAATGCCACAGTAATAGAAGGCAAAGGCCGATAACGATGATGACAGTTTTCTGTGATTGCGCATGGCCTAACGAAAGAGACTTGGAGAGCTCAAAATTCCCTACGAACTGCAGGATCAGTGCATTATTCTATGACACTGTATACAACAGGGGTCTGAAACACGCGGCCCACGGGCCGCATGCCTTTCGCTCGTAGCCAACGGCCCGCAAATGGCTATGTTCATCCCATATTTTTTTAGTTGTGAGCTACACAGGCATGACTGGTCTAAAGTATAGATTTCGTGATGCAACCCATGTGGTTACCATCTGATGAAAGTAACCATAAAACATGAACGGTACTGACATGTTGTTGAATGGAATCCTGGCCACAAATCTTTGAAAATGACCCATACATGATATATGGGAAAGGTTATGTTTTCAGTAGTAGTGTTTGCTGACAATCTGTATGAACACCCCCCACTCCCCATCTACTCTTACATTCCTCCGCGACCTGGCCCTCGCAGGACTAAATTGAGCGAATGCGGCCCATTGCTCAAGACAAGTTTAAGACCCTCGATCAACAGGGTCAGCCTATCGTGAAAATACTGCTATACCAATCATCGCTCTGCTGGTTACAGACTAAAGAAGCAAGTGCACCAAACAACAAACACAGAAATAAGGGCACAGAGACATTTGCTTTATCAAAGAAATTATGCTCATATATTTGTTGCAGTGAGAATTTTCGAGAAATATTTGTTGCATCTGTATGTCACACACAGCTTCTGCTCTACAACAATATCATTGGCAACAAACAGATGTGCTGAGAAGCGGCATATAAACATCGGTATGAAAGAAATAAACCTATGTTTCTATATTTCCATTCCACAATGAAACTGCACTCTTATCCTCGTTACAGCCCCAAGTATGATGTGTTGCAATACAGTGAGCAGTGTGTGTGATGATCAAAGCGAATACTTGAGCCTGTCATCTACTACTCTTCAGGTGACACTTTCAGCATTTCTGCTCATTCCATTTCAAGTAGCATATTTGTCCGATACCTTCAAATGGTAAAATCTTTTCAACTCTAAAAAACTTGCAATACCAAAGCCACAAATTTGTATGCACTGCCCAGTTACACAAATTAATTCGGAAATAAATCGCAGCATAGCATAAAGCAGCAGAGTCATCCTTCAGGAAGTCTGGCAGGTGCACTGGAAAATCTGAGCATCTACAGAGGGCAGCCAAGTCGATGGGGTATCATTCTTGCTGGGATGTCATTTTGAAAGGGCACCAAAACAGCATCCGACCACTGATAGCAAAGGGAACTCCCTGTGACAGCAACGTGCATCATGAAAAAGCTCGAATGCATGCTCAAGCTCATACGAGAACAGCTTCTTTTCAATAATTATACCTATTATATGGCGAAAAAAAAGAACTACTGGCATCATGGTCACAGGTTGAAGGTAAGTTTCCTTGCTTGCGGATGCTTGTAGTCATGACACCTTTGGGCGGGGGGAAGTTTCGGGAACCTTCGAGCGGCGCGATCCACCCTGCAAGAACATAAAGTCATAACGAGAGCTCAATACAAAGCTTAAATACATGCAATGCAAGTGCAACGTGATATGTCAAAGTAAGACAGCAGAACTAATTTACGCTACTACTGAACAATGCACTATAGGCACAGTGCGCCCTTGCTGACGAGATAAGTATGGCCAGTTTTCAAAGTCAGCCAATAAAAATCACCGGTGTCACAGCCAGAACAGTACTTTGACCATCGCATACATGACAGCAGCTCAGAACACACTTCTTCAGTCTCTGAATTAGAGCAAGGCTGATATGCACAGACACCTCACTTCCTGCGAGTTCGCTTGCCGCCCTCACGATTCACAAGTTCAACGCATAGCATGCCATTACACATCCTCACTACGCCACTATAGTGCACATTCAGGTGTGGCATTTGCTGGTGCACATTTAAAAAGCATCCTGCCACAAAGCACCAGTCGTTTTTTTTTTATCAGCTCAACCTTCTAACTGGTTCGAGACAACAAAACTGGCACGAATGAAGGGCTTAACAATGTGGGGGTACTGAAACTCCCCTGCAAAGTTGTTTGCGCTGCGTGGCGCACGTGTCTCGCCCAAAAGCCGCATTTCGAGTTACAACCACCGAGCGATAGGTGGCGTGTTCGCGTTGAGCACCACTATCATCGTTATGGTTGTTACCATGGTAGCGCTGGCAGTGACCCCGTGGTGGCGGGCGAGTTGAGCGAGTCTCTTCTGCGCGTGGCACCGCGGGCTGCGCGTCGGGGGCTCTCGTGGTAAGTCAAGCGCTGGCGACGCCACCTTGGGTGTGTTATTGTGTTTGCCCTGCTATGGTGAGTTTGTCGTGTTATTGTGTTTGTCATGGAGTGTATGGTCATATTGTGTACGGATGTCCTAGCATGTTAATTAGAATTGATGTATAATAATTCAACGGACGATATCGTCGTTCATAAATAGTTAAATGTGTGTATCCTTTGGTTTGTACTGACCGTGTCTACTGTGTCCTTTCGACCCGAGAGCATGGCGCTCGCTCGCCAATTCGAGACCCCACAACAGATAAGTAGCGAAAAATGCAACACGCACCAGAAGTGCCACAGTTCACCATGGCCGCCTCGCTTGCAGTTGTGCAGGCACCAGACTGCTGCGTGGCACAGTTCGTGCAATACGGTGTCCCTTGTTTGCTCAGCATTGCGAAGAATCTTCAATGAGAGCTCCACACGATACTTGTGGTTGGGCAAGTTGAAACACCGGCCTGCTGTAGATATTAATCTGCTGTTCCAGGAAATTTCTCCCGGAGGGAGCTGTTTGTGTGGAAACGAAGAACTGCATAAGTTTCTGTGGTGCGCTTTGTAGCAAGCATGCATCATTTCGGAAAATACAGTCAAACCTTGATGTGACAGACATGAAGGTAACTAATGATCGAATGTAGTGGAGTGAATATGCCATATTTTTTAACAATATGGGAATATAATGAATGTACATGCTTTCAACACACATCAAGTATAGCAAAGGTATATACACTTTAATGCAGCTGGACCAAAAACTCGACTGCACAGTCAGCGAAAACAAAGTTGTCGACAAACTTTGTATTGATATCTCAAAGCAACCTTTAATTTGATTGCATGTTCCTGCAGTAGTGCCTTCTAGTATCTGCCCAAGAAAAATGGCTGAGGCCTACGATATAACGATTAGGAACAAGAATAGTGATCATTGAACCGTCAGTCACTTTTCATGACAAGGGATGTAGTCGCCTTTGCCAATCTTGTTTATGCATAATTTCAACAATGCTGCCTTTGCGAGTCCTTGTGCCATGCACATGTTCCAATATATACGTTTCACGTTTGTTCAACAAAATGTCAGTTGATAGTCAGTGCCTTGTTCTTTTTCCTTATTTTTGTCTGTGTGTAGTGTTGCACTATAATATACATAGTTCAAGGTGAGTCCCTAAGAGAGTTTGCAGTCCTGCTTTCGACATAAAAACAATTGTGATCACACCGTCACTGTCCCACCAACGCACGCAAAATGGATCTAAGGAGCACTTGCTTAGACTTTTCATAAAAGCTCCCATAGATTATCAGTAAGAATACACTTAACGACCAATGTTAAACCCTTATATGCACCGACCCATGCGATGCAAGACCTACCTTGCAAGCGAAGACCTCCCTGTTGAAAATTGAAAAGAGGATGCTAGCAAGCTCTTCCCGGGAACTAGGGAAATGTTGCCTGAACCTGAGCGCATCTGGGCGGCATTTCTCCGGAGGTGTGCTGTCGGAGAGTGACTCAAGAAACCAGGCATCCCTGTCCTCGGCAGATGGTGTCTTCACAGCGGTGCATGGCGTCAGAAGTCGTGAGGCAGGTGGCTTTCTTTTCAATGACGTCTTAATTTCATCTTCGCTGTCCGAACTGTCACGTAGAAACGAGGGGCGCCGCCTGGAAACAGAGGCGTTCTTGTACTGCCAGCACAACCACTCAGAACTGTTTCATCGATATGAACAGGTTTTTATATGTAAAAGCAGGCACAGAAGGGGTGACTAGGGTGAGAATAGCCTAACCTAGGCATGTGGATATTACAAAATAGAAAGCATCAGTAATTGAGCCTGCATGTATGCAGCGCTTTTTCAGGTGCGTTTTCACGGCTAGTGCTGGACACAATCATTCCCTCATCACTCTTCACCAAAATCAAATTGCGGGGCTCAATGTACCACCACACCAAATGATGCACGAGAGAAACTTCAGTAGTGATTTTTACAATACTTTACGCCGCATATGGTTCTTCAAAGAGTTAGCAGGCTTGAGCACATCTGTGTCTTTACATTAAGTTTTACAGTCTGGCTATGGACACCTGCATGCACGAAATATGCGGCACCTGTTAAGTGGACAAGCATACAATCTGGAACACACATCTACAGACCTAGTCCAGGGGAACATTTTTTGAATAACACTCAGATGTAGATCGGGAAGTGTATGTACAGTTGGTCGCAAAACTTTACGAGACACGCAGGATTAGCAAAAACTGGGCTGGGAAAGTCAACTTCCATAGCCTCAGGTTGAATGTTTCAGAGTGAGGTAGTTTTTCATTGCCTACATAGTTATCATTTTAGTTATAAACACCCTTTCATGAAAGCAGCAATTCTTGCTTTTTGTGGCACACTTTTTCCAAGACTCTTTTGAGGCCAGCTTTGCGCATGTGTTTGCATGCTACAGAAACTCTTTTCCATTAATGTCAGAGTAGAGGTCTGTCATAAAAAGAGGCAACGTTTAGGAAGAAGTCAAGTTTCTTTAGGCAATTTTACCAGCTGAGAGGCATCTTGAAAAATGTGACACCTAATAGACACCGTAAAGAATATTTTTTTTATCTGTTATGAAAGTCTAGCCACGGAATGTATATTTAGAAGTAAAGAATGATTTCTTGGAAACCAGAAAGTGATGCGAAGAATTGATTTCTGTTAAAATCGGCATTATTTACCAAACGCCACATTACTTGAAGGGCCAGGGCACGCTGCGAGTACAGTTACATGAATAACATTAAGGAGAAATAAAAAGGTAACATTTTTCTCTCTTTTTTTTTCTCGTATGACCGGCGCAAGAGCTAGATGCGGTAACCTTGCATGGTCGCTCCAGTTATTTCTTACGGTTTAATCAGACGCATTAGCGTTTCCACCTACATTTCTCGTAATTTATCTTTCCCCAGAGAACTCACCGAGCAGATGACCAGCAACCACGAGCGGGTAACGGATCTCCCCTGCTCTTCTGAGGTGTCCAAAACTTGTTAGCGTTGTCTTTCAGCGGCGATTCATTCAGCCTGACGGCTCTCTCGAACGCCTCGCTTAGCTTGCCACACGCCATGCCACGAACCTGAACAAAGCAGTCAAAAAGTATTGTGCCCATCTAAACGGCAAAAGACACGCTATAGTCAATGAACACGTAATTATCTGTAGTAATTCTTCAATTAACTTCAAGCGCCACAAAATAGCTTCCATGTAGGGCACGATATGAGTGAAATAAAAGCCATCTTCAACGTCTCCAACTCCCGTTGAACCTTTCCGCCAGTTTCTGCCACGGAAGCTAGAGCTGCTAGAACCACAGAACACCTGAAGAGTTGCTTGGTTGTTTCCAGAGCCTGGAGTGCCTCATTGTTCCTCAGATTACAGTGTACTAGAATAGAAAATTACACCACAGAATGCCCAGAACACCTACTTTACTACAGTAAACCTTGGTGTACTCCTGGCATTGATGTTTCGGCGCCGTTTATGAATATGGTCACGTGATGAAAATATTGATGATGGTGATGACGATGCGATAACTTGACGACATAGAGTAGAGTAACATAGTAAACGTTTACTATGTTACTCTAAAAATGGTGGCGATGCCAACCGTGGTTACACAGCAGAAGACTACGGCACCATGGTTCCAGCGAACCACCAACGCCCTTAGCGTTGGGAAGAACAACATTGTTTCTTTGCTACAGTCGCGAAACCTGTAATGCAGAACTAGCCACACCATAGAGTTTCATAAAGTTTCATATGAAACTCTATGAGCCACGCCGAGTATTGATAATACAGTTTTACGGCAGACTGAATAGTAACTTCGCTTGGCCCATTATCTGGTTGGCAATAGTTTCCAGTGCTTGTCGCAGCCGTTTTCGCCATGTTTCGCTTGCGATAGCTGTGTTGAATTCACTGTACAGCTTCCCCCGTTAAACCTACTTGTGCGGCTCGCGCTGGTGTTTTGTTTCAAAGTTTCATTGGTTCCATCATCGACAGGCCAGGAGAGTGAGACCGGTCAGTTCTCCGGGTTCTCTGTGCGGTCCTCTGTGCTCCTATATCAGCAATGTTTTTTTTTTTGTTTTTTTTTCGATAAACAACTAGCTGTCATTAGTGCAAACACCCGTTTGTGGAAGCGCGACGCTGAACTAGCCGAACCGTCAAGTCATCTATGTCGCCTTGCGCTAAATTAAAGTACAACAGTACCAAGTGGCAGATTTTTTCTGACATTGGAACGCATTGTCAGGTGTTCTCTAGCACGGCATACACACCTTGTATAATTTTCATGTCTATTTCCTACACCCATGTTTGGTTTCTCTTCGTGATAACAACGGGCGGATATCAGATCTGCTGCTCGTAATACTTCCGCAAGCCGGAAAAATCTCTTTTTCGTGCTTCCGACATTATTTCTAGTACACTCTATCATTGTTTTTAGCATAACTCTATGGCATGAATGCAAGACTTGCATGGAGGAATTGGAATTATGATGACTTGTTAACATTGTTACGGGGTATATACTGCCAGTGACAATTAATATAATGCATAGTTTAACAGCCTCCCAAATATTGGCCAGCAAGTTGCAACTTGGGTTGCATTTGCCCCGTGTCGTGCCTGGTCGCGCAACCGCACTGCAGCGCGGCGTTGCCATAGTTTCGCGTGAGCTTTGCGTTGTCGTTTATTTGCCCGCGTGTTTTGTTTGTTTCGATTCGGCGCACCTCTAAAAAAGTGTAACTGTTCGTCGCTGTCCAACAAAATTAGGCCGAACGCCAGGGGCTCCAGGAAGGTTGTTTGCCGCGGCCTTTAATTAAATGGTTGAGCAGCGAAGAACAGGTTTCTTGGCGTTTACGAAGCGATAAAAACAAATCGAACGACACCAGCCGCAACCACTTCTTCTCACACCTTCCTCGCGTATTTTGACACCGCGGGGCTAATCGTTTCACTTTTTCGGCGCGCTGTCAAGTCCCGATAAGTTGTAGTACGTGCGAGTCGAGCAAGCGAAAACAGGCAAAAGCAAGACAACCGGCGCACCGCCACGAGCGAGAGAAACGACGGAGTCGAGAGCCTAGGGAGCCCGAGGCCTCCCATAACGCGCCGGCGGAGAGTAGGGGGAGGGTGGGCCGGTTTCGTACGCGGAACATAATAAAATGCCACGAAAGAAGTCGCCGAATGGGCTCAGTCGCGATTCTTTGATAGGATGAGCGCGGTTTGTAATGTTTTCCTACAGTCGGTACAACCGAGTGCTGTGCCCCGTGAGTTGAAAGTGCCGTTTGTGACGGCTCGCCAAGAACAATATAGTGACGGAAAAGGAGGCACCGAGGCTGCTTGGTGGTGCGCCTATATCGGGTGTCCCAAGGGTAGATGACCCACGGAAACGCGACAACACCGTCGGTTCTGCGCGAAGCAAACGACTGGATGACTTTGGGGCGTTGGTGAAGGTGAGTGCGGCTCGAAAAATACTCTTTGCCTTAAGTTATAAAGCTGTGAATTCATACCAACGATCTCGTTTTTGCTCCAAGGAGCGTGGGAATGTGCGAAAGGTTACGCTAGCTTCTGGAAAGCGGGTCATGCTTGGGAACCGACGTTCGCGCTGGTACGTCGCTGCTCTTTCGCATTTAGTTACGTTGACGCTCTGTATGTATCTCATGTCACTAAAGTTTACCACCAGCAACGCTGCGAATAGCGAGAAAAGAGGGTTCAGAAGTGTGAAACGGACCGGCGGGCGAACTTCCGTGTCTTCTGCGAGTGTAAAGGTCACGGCATCGCTTACTGGCCGGTTTTCTATAACACGTTCTCGACGATGTGCAGAAACAAGTTTACTCGACCAAGGCTGTTGTGGATACTTGGGTGAAACATCGCGACCAAGACTGGCCAGCGAACAATAGGATGAAACGTGCGTGTTTACTTCCGCGTTCTGTAATTGCAGGGAACCGGATTGTCTGTGTTCGCTTTCGATGTGGCGCGATTAACACTTCCTATTAACCTACATACGGCTTTGATCAAGCCCAAGCAGAAGATGTGCGCCGCTAGACTGTTTGTGCTGTGCCGCAATACAAACCTAGCGAATCCACACAGATTCGCTAGTACACCTTGTGAGCTTTCTGCAAACAGGATGGTGGATGGCAATACGGCATGTACTATGATTTATTATAAATTTTCAAAAAAATTCGAGCCTTATATGTAAGCGTTCCTCCGTGGCATGCATCAGTTGGTTGTCTAGAGGCCTGAAGAGGTATGTGATGGCATGAAGATAATAATAATTGACTCCAAAATGAAGACTGGACCACGAATAGCGTAGGTCTATATGTGCTTGCTGACGCATGCTGAGTAAATAAATCTGGAATAGCATGTCTATGCGATAATAGTGGCAATGAAGTGGGCAACATGAGATGGTAGGAGGGAAAAAAATAGCCTGATGTAGAATAAATGTCGCTTAGGAGTACTTCCACATAGCCAAATGTTTTGGGCGTTGGCATACAGAAAGGACCTAAACGTACCAAAGCAAAGCTCTTTTGATTCGTATGCTAGTCAGGTTTGTACGTTACGACAGAACAGGAATGGCTAAAACGCAAAATTGTTTCACAAATTAACTGCGCTCTTCATAATTGTTGACTGTTCCGAAATATACTATTTGCTGCACTTTCTGTAATATTGACACACGTCAACTTGCCTGTGTCAGTGAGTTGATATACAAGAAAGGTGTGGCCCCAAAAATAGGCTCTTCTGTTGCTACAAAGCATAGCTTAACGATGCTGCTTCTGCACCAGAACAAGTTTGGCAGCATTCTCTGATAAACTTCAAGTATTGGTACTGCTCCAATTATGTTTAGTTTAGTCGAGTTCGTTTCAAACTTATTGGCTAAAGAGACACAATGCTGAGTGGCTCCTAAGCCCAGCAATAACGTAACAGTGTCTAATCAGTAAAAAAATATTAATCCCTGAAAAATATGGTTACAGGTGGCATTGTTAGTTGCTGCTGTAATTTTCGCCACCGGCGTTTATACATGCAAAGTTTCCTTGGACTAGGATATGAAAAAAAAACATAGGCATTGCTCTTATGATGAATGCATGCATGAGAGACGAACCTTAGCATGTGCAGCTACCACATCATCTTCCTATCAACCACAACTGCTGCGATTTTTAGTTAAAGAGGTCTGCAGTGCCGAGAAGCAAACAATGGAATTATTAAAAAGTGTAATTACAAAGTGGGTAGCGTTTTCAACCAGAAACATTCGTTGCACGCAACATTTCAACGTGTGTGGGACCCTTTCTAGAAAAGACAAACAGTCGATGGCACATATCTAACAATTGAGAAACAGCTTTGAAAACTAAGTGTATCATGCTTGTTTTTCTGGTGCAGCTATAAAACAAGGTCGACAAATAGAGATAAAATGTTCAGGGTTGCGGAATCAATGGCAGTGGTGTAATGCTTACTATCAATATTGTCGTACAGTGGCATGTTCCTTTTTAGTCGAGTGAACGAAGGCAGTAAGGAGATTACCTTCGGAATAATTGATGAATGGGGGCTGCAGCCAACACGTTACTGTACTCATTCAGCAGCCATAAGACCCTGCCACTGATGTTTCAGCAGTAGTGTTCATGTCTCTGTGAAGACAACAGTGTTTTTGATTGGAAAGCACAAAAGGCTTGTTTAAGAGATGTCCGGAAACTATGATGTGTTTTGTGGTTGTCCTTGAAAGAAGGATAACAAGCAGGAAGTCCTGCAGAGAACTCTTGTATCTTTGGCTTAAGTGAAATGTCATGAACTGTGACAAGGACTAAATACACAAACAGAAATTAGCACACCTTCCAACAAGAGGCAGGAGATAAGGCAGGCAAAAGCGGTAGTTACAACAGGAAGGCAGGAAATGTCTTTGAAGGCATGTCACCAGATGGAGTTTAGTCCATGTGCCCTTCAAGTAAGCATGCTCATTCGTCTGTTAAAAAAGTAAAAACAGGAGCAGCTTAAAGTCTGGTTCTCCTTCTTTCCCGTGCGCTTGCGCAGTTTTTTAACTCTGTTGTCTGTTAGGTCTGCCTTCACTCATTCTGCTTACTTTTGCTCACTGTAGAAAGGGAGAATTGGATTGTTGCTGAAGACGAATTAATGGTCAACTGTAGTGCTGGTGATATGCACCTATGATAACACTCTAACATCATGACAAGTAGTGACCACTAAGAGGAATCTGCAGCAATTACTGCAATCACCTGCACCAGCTAAAACCAATGGGAACTTTGCTAGCTGCAAAGTATTATTGATTCAGTCCCCTTAGCAGGCTTACAAAGGTGACTAAAGGCCTGGAAAGTATCTGAAATAAATCGGTACATGCTGATGTGAAGTTGGCGGCTATAGAAAAACTTAGTAGCTCGCCACCAGCCTACAGCCTTGATTCTGAGCCACAGCAGCCACATTGTGGTGAGGTTGAAATACGAAAATGTTCATGTACTATTATTG